CACGTTTCATTAAAATCGGGCCATGGGTTACCGAGTTAGTGCCATTTTTTGGGTTACTTTTATGAAAATTTCTAGCATGAGTAATTTTACATTACACTACTGTTTGCGCTCTTTACAAAACTTCATCAGGCCACTGGTTACTGAGTTAGTGGCATTTCTAGGGTCACTTTTATGAAAATTTCTAGCATGAGTAATTTTACATCACACTACCGTTCGCGCTCTTTACAAAACTTCTTCATTCAAATCTATTTCCCTGTCAATGTTCCCATCTTCATTAAAAGACTAAGATGACAAAAACAAGATCTTGAAGAATTTCTCAATAATGTGCATTGGTTATGGTAGGTTAATTCTAAGAAAAAATAAAGTGTTACTGTTTCTTATTTGTAGAAGGTTTAGAAGGAAAGATCACAACATAATGAACTAATTCATCACAATACCTGAAAACCCTGACTTCACTTTTTGAAAAATTAAATGGTCTTTCCTTTTACTCCCAATCAACAATCAAATATATTTTCTTGAATTATGAATAACATGAATGGATTGAAATATTTAATTAAATTATCTCAAATAAACCTTCATTTCAGTGCAATATTGAAATTAGTTTGAATTCTTAATAACCTCTGAATAGTGGGTGACCCAACGGGTCACGGGTGGTCTAGTGATACTTGAAAGTTTTAGCCAAGTAGCTTTCACCTCCTTATCCTCATACCACAATGTAGAGTTGACAAAGCATAAACATCATTCTGTGAAATGGGCTATCTCCAGAACAATTGAGGCTATTACTACATCTCTCTCTCAGGTTATTCTTGATTTATTCTCTATTTTTCAAAGATATATAAAGCCACCAGACTTAGAACAATTAAGCTGCAATGCCATTATATTCTAGATACATGAATGACCACTCTAAAAGTTCATTTATAAGTAACAATTTTAAAAACCTAGGTCTAGACTTAGTATATTATTATGCAGATTAAATTCTCTCAATATTGTTGTTTAAGACTCATAACATAAATATAATAATATGTAGAATTATACTGGGACTTTTCTCTACGTTAAAATACTTCTATTTGCAAGCTTTCAGCCCTCTTACCGAAGCCTTCATCAGGCAACAATGTTCTGAGTGAAAAAATTCTTTAAACTGTGAAATACTGCTTGAAAATAGGTATCTAGACAACAGTCGTAACAATAACTGGCATCTTGTATTACAGTTATTAAACATATAGAATATCAATTGATCACTTTGATATAACAAACATAAGGAAAATACAATTATAGGTATTAACAGAGAAATACAAAATAATAGAATTTCTAAACTTCAAATAATACATTAAAGGTTTAATTTTACATCGAATCCACTACAAATAACATGCTTTATGTCTTTTATTAGTGGTGTCCATGCAGTATTGAGTAGATGTTAGCCGTTGTTTTAATTAATACCCACTGGTGGTCCACTGTTTTGTGGTTGGATGGCAATAGCTTCCTTGATTTTTCTATGTTTGGTGTTTTCTTATCTGTCTGTTATTTCGGCACTTTTTTAAGTTATTATGTGATCGTTTTCTTGAACATTAAAAGCTATACCTGATGTGTTTATAGCACAGTTCTTAATATCTCTTTGGTGTTTTTTGAACCTTATTCATGGGTGTTGTGTTTCCCCAATGTATTGTTTATTACACTCACACCTAGTGTTATAAACCATGTTCTTTGTGAGAAGACTGGGAAGTAGGGATTTTACCTTCGCAAGACTGTCGTATAGTGTAGGAGGACTTAAGAAAACTACAGTGATGGTAAGTTTACTCATTATCCTACAAAGTTTTTCTTCTTGGCCTGGTATGTAAGGAAGAATTGCCTTTTTCTTTTTGTTGTGATTCATTAGTAGTTGAGCCAGATGAACCACATAACACATGTTGAATCATTATATTTGGACAACCATTATTCCTGAAAATCTTCTCAAGATGTTTAAGTTCTTCATCTACGTAAAACGAGGAGCATATATTTGCAGCTCTAGATTTTAGTATTTTGATAATCCCAGTTTTGACAGCTATTGTATGGCATGAGAAAACAATTTTAAATATAGGTCTAGACTTAGTGTATTTATGTACAGATTTATTTCTATCAATATTGTTGTTTAAGACTCATAAAATGGGTAAATTAATAGAAACTTGCTAATAAAAGTATTTTAACATAGAGAAAAGTCTGTGTATAATTCTATATATCTCTCAATATTGTAAGTTTGAAGATTGGGTCACTGAAAATATGCTTGTTCACAATATGAGATTTTTGGTCCATTAAGTATCACATTGTAATTACGACATCTGATGAGGATGGTTAATGGTTTTTAGTTCTTGATAGTTTAATGCTGGTATTTTCTAATTGCTTAATGAGATATAAAATATGCTATCCATAGTGAGTTGATAATTGTTGTATAAAATTAGGTAGATTAATATATAGAGTTATACACAGACATTTCTCTATCTTACACCATTCAGAACAAACTATTTTTCGTAAAAGAATTTCTTCACAATCAACAACAAAACGTAAGTGTTAGAATCAAGTCTATGGTAACTGTTCAAGATTACAAAGATATCATGAGAATTTTTGGAATCAGTGCTGACCAAGAATATCACAAGGTCAAATAAAGACAAATCAGCAAGTTTCAAAAACTGTTATTGTTATCTAAATGTGACAGGGACAGGAGAATGGATTTAAATAAGCATAAAGTTGTAAACTTAAATGACAAATGTCTTAATGATAATGAAATAACTGTACTATTTCTTGGACTTAATTTTTTTTCCTACCATGAAACTAGTACCCTACACTGACATCATTGCTTCCAATCAAGTATAATCTGGATGGGAATAAACGTAACAGTGTCATGAAAGAAAGGGATCTTGGTGTAATAGTTGATCAGTCTCTTAAGCTATCCAAGCAGTGTGCTGTTGTTAGTGGTAGGGCAAATAGGATTTTAGGTTGTATCTACTAAAATATTGAACATAAGTCTAAAGAGGTTAGTTTCATTATATAGGTCACTGGTTAGGCCACATTTGGAGTAGTGTGTTCAGTATTGGGCTCCTTACCTTAGGAAGGATATTGAATTTTGGAAAGGGTTCAGAGGAGGGTTACCAGAATAGTACTTAGGATGGAAAGGTTGTCGTATGATGAGAGATTAAGATCTCTGAATCTATTCTCTCTTGAAAACAGAAGAGTTAGAGGGGATCTGATTGAGGTGTTTAAGATTGTAAAGGGAATTGATAGTGTTGATGCATCATCTTTTTGCATACTTAACAGCAAGAATAGCCAAGATAGACCATTAGGTCCCTTGTCCCTTAACATTATACTAGGTTATAATACAGCGGTTGGCTTCCTAAAGACACTGACTGTACAGTGTATAAAGTATTGGGTATCTACATGTCACAGTCATGTACTGTTCATCTGGTATTGGCTGGTAATTCCTGTTTCACCCTACATTAAACGTTACAAAGAAACATAAGATTTCAGTAAGAAAGCTAATTTTAAGGGGTAATGATAACATCATTTACATTAGAATTATGATGTTTTTAGCTTATATAAAATACAGAAAAAATAAATCTACTTTTAAATACCCCTACAACCTTCACATTATCTTATTTAGTATTCTACAAAAGGTTTGAGTCTAATATATCAAGCCATATTTGTTGTAGGCTAGCAAGAAAATTATATTAAGAAGAATTAGAAATGGGACATTTTGAGCAGATTTTCTTTTCCTTCTAAATCTAACATACATGCTTTTTTGTACATTTTTATATGTTTACAGCATTAGCAATCAATAGTAAAAGGTTTTAAAGTGTTGATTAAATTGAATCTTTACTGTTTAAGGTGTTTTCTGCCAAAATGTTTTATTAGGGTTTTGTGCAGTTACTTGCAATCCCTATTATGAACCACTATCATATACACAATTCCAACAGACAGCATGTCAAAAAATAAGAGGAATTGGAACTGTAAGCAGCTGATACTTTGGCTTTACAACAGTTTTTTTACATCATAGCATGGAACATAGCTAGATTGAAAGAGCTTTAGCACATGACAAATAGTAGGCCTAAAATCCATAACTTTAAGCTACAATGTAACAATTATTGCAAGTTATGATGTAGAAAGGGGGGAGTTTACTACAGGTACACATCTGTCAGTCATGATATTTCAGTTTTGAAATCAATGAGAATACATAATCTCACCTTTACTTTAATAGGTGTATACATAACTTCATACTTGGTGTTTAACATTTGGTTGTTGACAGTTTTCATTTCATTTATCAATATACTATAAATTCATGCATATAGGTTTTAAGTTGAAGTATCTTATTAGGGTTAAATTGTATCATGCTTTGTCCCAAGTTTAATGCAATGTCTCAGGTTATTAGGTAGAGCAGTTTTATTTACATTGTTTCAATTACATGTTCACATAGTGCAAAAGATCAATAAACATATACATTTATTAACTGTATTTCGTTAATTATTAAATAAATAATTCAAATTGCAGCTTAAATCTACTCATTTTAGACTGTGGTATCTAATGGTAAGCTTTTATTTTTGCTACATAAAATTCAGTGAAACCCCTGTATATCTCAAAAAAAGTCAATACTATACTCAGCATAAGTGATCCCTTCAATTTTAAAACATAAATGATTATAACATTTAAACATATAGCTAAGAGCAATATAACACTAACACTGCAATATTAGAATACATGACTAATAATACTCCGATATTACAAATACAATACCTAATATTAATAATAAGTTCATACGCATTTAAGCCTACGGGTTGCGCAAAAATCACACCTAGATACCCTTAATTTTCATTCGGTATTTACGAAAACAATAACTTCAATTTCAGAACTTTCAGAGTTAGTGATTAGGCCTACTAATTCTTCAGATGTATTTCTTAATGAAAAATCGAAATTGTTTGTATTTTTCACAGTTCTGTTTCCCAAGAACAAACAAGGCGAATCAAATACATAGATCTTACCCCAGTGCCAATTGAACTCATTTTTTCTAATGTTGTTTGAACTCAACTAGAATGTACAAAACGAAAATCCTCCAACTTCTTGTTCAAAGAGACTCACTCGTATTGCCGACTCATTTTGTCTTTACCTGCTACCTAGCGGGAAAAAAGTAACATTTCGAATTAAAAATTAGAAAGAGCTTTATTGTAAATCATTTTCAACACTATTTTTACAGGTTTATTGGGCAATTTTTTTTATCAAGTTAATATGATAATGTTGAAAAGAATTTCAAATTCTTTAATATAACATTCCCTATGGACAACATTAGGGAACATTTTATTCCTTATTTTTAGTTCTGAATATGCACAGGTATTCACATAACACGCGGTAAATAAAAACAGTTAAAATTGATATTGTTTCAAGCTAACTTTGTTCCTTTGTCATTTTCAAAGTTGCTCATACCAGTAACCTGTTACTGCTTATGGAGAACATTGTGTTGTAAGCTATATTTTTCAATGTTATCATTTAACTGCTTGTTAGAAAGAGCTGCTAATCAAGACGATGACACTAGATCTAGAAAGTCCATAAAAACACTCCTAAAATACTGTTACGACATCGAGGTCGCGTGACTAGTATCATGCCACGTCATTCTCAAACATTC